GGATAGGGGTGGGGCAGTCAAGGGGACAGGGAGCAGGGGGGGTTGGACAGGGGATGGGGGGGTCCTGGGAGGGGTGGTCAGGGGACAAGAAGCAGGGGGGGTTGGATGGGTCGGGGGTTTGAGGGGGGCAGTCAGGGGGCGGGAAGTGGGAGGGGGCAGATAGGGGGCAGGGGCCAGGCTGTTTGGAGAGGCACAGCCTTCCCTACCCGGCCCTCCATACAGTTTCGGAACCCTGATGTGGCCCTCAGGCCAAAAAGTTTGCTCACCCCTGCTCTAGGCGCATGGAGGGAATTGTGGGAAGGCTCTGGAGGACTGGCAGCATGGTGTCCGGGCAGGTTACCAGCTCACGTGTAAGCACTGCACCCTAGAGGAACCAGCTAGCCCAGGGCGAAAGCATCACTAAACTCGGGTTCCGAGGGTTTGTGTGTGGACGGGAGCTGGGTTAGGGGCAACCCCTGAGCAAGAACCTGAGTAAATTTTGCAATGAAGACAGATCCTTAGACAATATCAACCAATTCAACTGCATTTTTATTTAAACACCCTGCAACATTTACTCACTGAATTTACTCACATTGCTTCAACCAAATAATGCAAAAGATTATAAAACCCCGCCACTAACTGAACTAAAGTAATTTTGCTCAAACGCTTTGGTAACAAAATGCAAACCCTCAACCCCCCAGATTATATGTTTCTAAAAGAGATTATTTCTGCATGTTCCTATGCTATGGTGCCGGGACAAGTACCTTAGCAGACAGACATGCCTTTCTATTGTGGCGTGCTAAGCGGGCTTCCTTACATTCGGGGATTTCAGTCAATCGGTTTTTCCCTATGTCTCCCCTACCCCCGTGCCCTGTTCTGTGCAGTAACAACACTGCTGAGGGCTTCAAAGCATTTCCCAAGCATTGATTAATAACGGGCCAAACAACGGAGGCTCAGACACAGAAATGGTTTTGTAAGATAAAAAGGCCCAACCTCGCCGCTTCTGCACAAGCCAGTTTGGCCCAGGGAGAAGAACTCCTGTGTTACAGTTATCCGGCAAAGGGGGAATTTCACGTATTTACATTTCCAGCTTCTCTGTGAGGCAGGGAAATGCCATTATCGCCATGGAGAACAAAGGCAGCCCAGAGAAACTGAGTCACTTACTCAAAGGGAGTCGTGGCCAGGGCAGGGGATTGAACCCTGGCCTCCCAGGGAATGTCTACACTGCAAAAGACCCACGGCTGGTCCAGGGAGCTGACTCAAGCTCACCGGGCTTGGATTGCGGGGCTATAAAACTGCCGTGTAGCCGTCAAGCTGGCGCCCCAGTTCGGAGGCCCCCCACAAGCGAGGGTCACTAATACACGGAAGACCTGGCTGCCGAGAATAATTACCCCAGGGATGAATTCGCTGTGCTATATTTAAAGGGCTACATAAAAGGAAGAGGCAGGTTTACTTATCTGACCCCCTACAATTTTGGGGTAGCCACGTTTTAAATGCTCTTTTCTGCCCCTGCATTCCGGAGGCGCGCCCCCACAACGCGCCCTTTGGGTCGGTTCGGCAGGTTCGCTGGACACAGGCCCACGGGTTCCCACAGGAGCGGCCTGTTCTGCCCATCACCCCACTTTTAATAACAGGCCTTTTTATTTTGGTACAGGCTCAGCTAACGAGAGCTTTGCCACTGCGCTTCGTTGTCCTCCCCGTAGTGCTGGAGGGGCAGAGAACACAGGGACGGGCAAACAAACCTCCTAAGAATTCTTCTAAGCCTCACCTTGGAGTTATGGATCGCTAGGAACGTGCAGGGTCAGTGATCCCTGCTGAATCCAGCCGTCCTGAACCGCTGGAGACAGGATGGGAATGTTCAGCTGCGGCCTCCACTCCGGTTGCAACAGTTTCTGCCAACGCCACCTCCTCTCTCATTTCACCTGATTAATAAGTCTCTGTCTTCCCAGGCCTGCAGCACACGGCAACGCAGGGCAGGGTTTGCTCACTACACGCCCCTCGTGGGTCTCCACCCGCCTGTCCCGGCACTAGCAAATCCTACGCTCCCCTCACACACGCTGTGCTCTAGTCAGTCCTTTAAAAAAACAATCCCCAGTGTTTTTCTTTCCCCAAGAGAGCCCGCGATAAGGTTGGTGCTGTGTTCTCGCTGCCAAACCTCCTTTCTTTGGCCAGGATTCAAGTTTCAAAGACAACAAAAGCTCCCAGGGCTTCTAAAAGCTGCAGTTCCAGTTTGATCCCAGACCCCAGAAAGAATTTCCAGACCCGGTGAGGTTGCCTCCGACGCCTAAGCCCTGTCTGCAAAGATTTTGCAACTCCACCTCTTTTCTTAACCGGGTTCTTTGAATTGCCCAAGATTTTTGTTTAACAAACACCTTGCTTTAGTCAATAAAGCCAGTTAAGCTTGTTTTCATTTCCTTCCTAGCTTTGTTACTCTAGAAATAAACAAGAAAACCCAAGAGCCCCTGTAAAAACCCCTTAACAACCAACTAGGATTTAATTTTTGAAGGAAGCGGCTGGTACATATCCAAGCTGTTCTGCATCTAAAGCGAGCTCTCGGAGACAGAGCTGTGTGAATTCAGTCAGCTGACCTCACGAGAAGAATTTTTCTAGGCTAGCTAGCATCCCTTACCATTGCTCCATTGAGGTCAGTGGGGCCAGACCCATAGCTGGCTGCAGGTTTATTGACACCAGCTGGGAATCTGGCCCCTTTAAGTTCAACAGAGCTTTAGACGATCCTGAAAGGGGGAGGGATAGCTCAGTGGTTTGAGCATTGGCCTGCTAAACCCAGGGTTGTGAGTTCAATCCTTGAAGGGGCCGCTTGGGGATCTGGGGCAAAATCAGTACTTGATCCTGCTAGTGAAGGCAGGGGGCTGGACTCGATGACCTTTCAAGGTCCCTTCCAGTTCTAGGAGATAGGGATATCTCCATTATTAAAATTATTAAATTAAATGTACTGAAGCAAAAATAACGGAGCAGCTCTCCCCCGTGAAGTGATCAATACACCCACTGCCTTACCTTGGTTTGCAGCGATCTCCGGTGCCAGCTGCGCTGGTCTCTGGCGCGTAGGATTATTGGGAAATGTGCCGTTAATCAGCCTGGTGCTGTCTGGAGATGGGCCCCTGGCTCAGGGCTCCATTCCTGGAGCCACTGCCTTGAGAAGGGGGTTGGCTGGGTTTCCTTTAAAAGCAGCTACCCGGGTCCCCTCTGTTTTCCTCCCCTCTTTGTTCATCTTAAAATGGCAGCCCAGGGATTAATCATTACTAGGTGCACAGTCATTAAAAACAACCCGCCTGCCGCCTCCTCCCGCTGCGGCCAGGCCGAAGAGAAAGCTGGTCACTGCAGGAACCTGGCACAGCTGGAGTCCAAAACTTGGCAGCCGCAGACCTAGCGCTTAAATCTCAGCTCCCTGTTCCAGCGTGGACATAAATCGCCTCTGATCAAAGCGCCTTGCTGCGTGGCTGGTTCGACTTTAACCCCTTCCGATGGTCCCGCACATGGACCGACGGGGGAGCAGACCCCAGGCAAGGGGGAGCTGCCTCTCCCTGACTCGGGCGGCCCCAGAGATTTGACTCCTCTTTAAGTCTCGCTCCCTATGCGCACCCCTGCCCTTCACGAGTGCAATGAGTTTGTGGGGCCCTGGCCTTTGCAGTCAGAGGGTGTCTCCGCTGAACGGCCCACAGGGGTTGAGGTTAAACATGGGGCATGTTGGCAGGATCGGGGCCTTAACTAGCCCCGGATGCCTCGTTGTTTCCAATTTCTTGGAGGGTTTAAAAAAAAATAATAAAAATCCGCTTTATAAGTGGAAAAAGAACCTACAGCCGGGTGTGTTGCAGTGACCGTGCGAATAGCAGGGCGGCGCCGCCCAGCTGCGCGCACCGGGATGGCTGTCAGTCAGGCCGCTCTGAAATTCTCCCTCTGCAGCTCCCTTCCAGCGCTGGTCGCGAGTGCTAACAATCCCTGGCTGCACCAGGGTAGCTCATCCTGGGTCTGTCTACACGGCATTGTGAACCCAGGTTTTTCCAAGCCCATTCCGGAGTGTCCGCACTGCATTGAGCTGCAGCCACACGGCAACACGACAGCTCGGACCCTAGTCAGGCTCCAATCCATCCCCCAGCAGGGTCCTAGGACCTGGGCCGTGAGTGTTTGCTGACCTGAGGCAGGCTGATGTGTGTAGCCGGCAGGCTCAAACCTGAATCAGCGCCTGGGCTTAGTGGGCAGTGTAGACACACCCCACGTCGTCTCACTCTGCTCCCTGTCGGCAACTGGTCTCTAGCGAGCTCCCAGAAAAGGGATTGGTTTCAAGTCTGTTGTCTCGTGTGTAAGCTCGCTGGGGCAGGACTGGCTTGTGGCTGTGTGTTTGTACACCACCAAGTGCCGTGGGGACCGGGACCCCGAGGCGCTACAGTAACACAGCCAACAGTCAGGTTTTGGGGGGAAGAGTCACTTCGGTTGTGATTTCTCTCACCAAACCAGTTTCCCCCCCCCCAACAGAACCGAGGATTGTGGGAGAAGGTGAAACGCTAATGACCATCAAGGGGGCGGCCCAGGAATCAAAGCTGGGCCCTTCCCAGTAAGAGCATGAACCGCTACAGCTTGAACGAAGGAAGTAAATCCCCCTGGGGGGGAGCAGTGGCAGAGACACGTCCTCTGGGGGAAGGGTGTGTGTGTGTGTGTCTCAGGATTCACGGTGAGCAGAGAGCGTCACTAATCTCCCACGTGATGCTGCTATGACCCACGGTGCAAGATCATCACCCTCCTCCCGCACCCCCCTTCAGGGACCCTCTCCAGGGGAATTCCAGCGCAGGGCAGGGCTGATCCTGCTGGCTCCAGGGATTTCACACACGGACGGCCAGGTGTCTTTTATTCAAAGGCGAAGCCGTCGCTCCTTACAGACAGTTACGGGCACCCCCCAAAGCTCAGGTTTTGCTGCACAGATGAACGCTGCTCCCCTCCTCCCATGGCTGCTTTGCAGACAGAGTAAGTGAGCGTGGCGATGAAGTCATGCGCGTAAGAGGCAATCTCTGGCCTGGCTCCCAGGGCTCCAGGAGTCAGGGTCCCAGTCTTGCCCCCGCTGAAGTCAACGACCTGATTCAGACCAGCGCAAGTCCACTGTCTTCAGTGCCGTGACTCCCGCTTTTACACCAGCATGAAATGAGCACAGAGCCAGGCCCGGGGGTGTTTTATCCCCCGTCACACCAGCTCCCTTCAGCCAGAAGCGTTGTCCAGTTTCACAGCTTCTCCACAGGGTCTGGATGCTGCTGGCTGGAGCAGATGTGCGGCGCACCCCAGTTACCTATTCCCGTGAGCAGGAGCGATGCACCACTCCCCGCCCCGCCTGGGGCCCCAGTCCTCCCACCCCCAGCTTCAGTCCCACCTGGAGAGTGCACATCAGCACTGCTGGTTCGGGGGCAGCACGGGGCAGGGGTGGTGCCTGACCCACACGTGACCCAGCTAGGGTGTGTTATGCACAGGAGCCACAAGGCACAAGCACCCCCATAGTTGCAGGAACTAGGGGGCTGCCGCACCCCCTGGCTTGGAGTGGTTTCCATCATATACAGGGTTTACAGTTTGGTTCAATGGCTCTCAGCACCCCCACTATACAAATTGTTCCAGCCCCCCTGAGCAGTCCCCAGTGTCCTGTATCCTGCTCTCTTTCTGGCCAAGGTCCCCCAGACATCGGCAAGCCCCAGAGCAATTCAGGGCTGGGGGCCGGGGTGTTGGGGACCAGCCCAGGGGCGGCATGGTGCCACCCCCCAGGTGCCAGGCTCAGAAGTACATGGAGCCCTCCTTGGCCGTCCGGTCGTACTCCTGGATCTGTGCCTTGATGTGCGCGAGCTTCTTCTTCAGGTAGTCGCAGCGCTCCTGCTTCTCCAGGAAGGCGGGGTCCTGCAAGGACAGGAGGATGGGTCCTTTGTCAGATCACCACCGCTGGATCTGGGCTTCACCCCCGTCCTCCCCCCCCCAAACGGGGAGCAGGGTCTCCAGGAGGATCCGGGATTTGCCCCGCGCTCCCGACCCTGCGGAGAGCTGTGTCCCCACTGGCAGCGACCGGGCCAAGCGGAAAGGCAGGGAGCGCCCCCACCTGAGGACGTTCCTTTGTACGGGGCCCGAGCCCTCGGCGGGGAAGGCCAGAGCCGTTGCAGCCGCCCTGTTGTGAGCACCCCCAGACAGGCCAGGATCAAGAGACGGCACAAGACCACGTCAGCCAGTCTAGGGACCCCAAGGGAATCACAGGTTCTAGCTGCATCCAGCAGCCTTCATAGAGAATCCCCGTTAGAGTCATTTGAACCCAGTCCTGGTTCTTCCATACCACAGGGCTCCACAGCCGCACGCGTGGGAACGCCCGAGAGCCCCCGATTGGCCAGAAGGGCCCTGCTTGTTGGGAGAATTCTTAGCCAGCGATGCCCCACGCACTGGTCAAATGGGGACGCGGGCTGGCTACATCTACACAGACTGCAATCACACCCCGTGATGGGGCGAGCTCCAGGCCTACAGCGTTCCCCCTGAGCCAGTCTGCCTACTAGCCTCCCGCCCCTTGGCTTGTACTCACCCTCTTCTTCTTCTTGTATTCCTTCCAGATGTTGGAGACCCGGCTCTGTTCCTGCGGAGCAGAAAGCAGCGGGTGAAGGGGCCTGGCCGAGCTCTGCCGGGCAGCCGCGGGGAGCAGCCCCTGCAAGCCTGGGTCAGCAGCAGAGCTGGCGGGAAGCGGCAATTCCTTTGGCCAGAAGATTTGGAAACATTTTTCTGTTTGGAATTGGCACCTTTCGATTCTGGCGAGTCAGCGACTGGGACCCTGGAATGCTGCAGCCAGCTCCAGTAACCAGACAGACAGGGACTCCAGCAACCCTCTGGGAACAGAGGGAGGACATTAGCCCCCCTTCAGCTGGGCGCCCGGCAGGATAACTTTGACGAGGGCCTGGCTGGGAAATGCTGCTGCTCTTTTGATCTGCCGGCCGGGATCTCAGATCCCGGAAAACCAGGAACTGCCCCCGAACAAGCCTCTGTGTCTTAGGAGTATAGCTAGTAGAGAATGACTCAGGGAAAGCATCAAGGAGTCTGGTGGCACCTTAAAGACTAACAGATTTATTTGGACATAAGCTTTCGTGGGTAAAAACCCCACTTCTTCAGATGCATGGAGTGAATGTTACAGATGCAGGCATTCTATATTATATCAGGGAAAGCATGTGTGTGTGGGGGGAGGGGAGACACTGAATCAAGGTTTGGTTTATCACTGCTAAAAGCAAGTGTGGGAAGAAATTCCTGACTGGAGTAGGCCCCAGAAGGTCAGACTCTCTCATTAGCAATGTCACGCACGCACCTGCACCCACGCACGCCCCAAGCCGGCGTGTGGTAAATAACCAGACTGCAAAGCCCGGAGTTGGCTTGGATCCCAGCACAGAGAGCAGATAACCAGCTTCCCCTTCCCTCAATCAGCCCTGGGCGTCTGCTCCGAGTATTAATGAAACCAGCAGGAGCAATGTCGGTTCATGGGCCACAAGGGTTTGACTTGAACTGGCTTCCTCAAGGAAGCACCCGCGGAACCCGACGTTTCCGGACAGCTCTGTCACAAGAGCGGCAGCGGCTCCTTTGTTGTTCCTGGCGGGTGGCTCAATCGACCCTCTGCTGCTTCTAGCCTGACTCCGGTACCAGTGTATGGCTTGGGCCAAATTGTTCTACCTGCTTCTGCTCCTGGTGTGTGCCCTACCTGTCTCCACAGCCCCTCCAGCCCTGGTCCTCTTTGCCAGCACTGCGAGACAGGGGCCAACTAGTTCCAGTGGGTTTTTTGTGGGCTGTTCCTGTCCTAGTAGGAAATCAGCTGAGACCCGTCAATTCATTCCACCAAACATTCCCCACTGCTGAGCCAGGCAGGAGAGGAAGCCGTCCCCGAGCGGTGAGAGGCCCCACATCCCAACCCCCGCTCCAGCCTGCCCGTGCCATGCCCCCTCTGCTTAGCAACTGACCTTCTTGCTGGGCGTGCGATGCGGCAGCCGGCTCATCATGGCGTCCAGCTCCTTGAACTTCTGCAGCGCCGCATGGACCTCGTGGTAGAGCTCCTTGTACTCCGCGTACTGGTCGCTGAAGACAGCCTTGTACTTCTCTCTCTCCTCGGGGCAGCAGATCCCCGGGTACTTCCTACCCAGCCCCAAGAGATTCACAGGGGGGGGAAAGGACTCTGAGATAGGTGGCAAGGGATGGATCCGCGAATGGTGGGAAAATGATAACCCGTGAGGCGGGAGGAAACCGGGGACTTATTAGGAAGGAAAATACCTGCAGAGCTGGGTGGGTGCTCAGATATTATGTGTATTATAGTCGTCTCTAGAGGCTCAGGGCCCCACTGCGTCAGGTGCTGCCAGGAGAGACCCTGCCCCAAAGAGCTCAGAGTCTATGTAGACACAGGAAGGCCATTCTCCCACAGGGGAATTGAGGCCCAGAGAGATGCAGTGACTTGCTCAAGGTCACCTGGAGAGCCTGGGACAGAGGCAGGCATTGAACCCAGGTCGCCTGGATCCCAGTCTGATGCCTTAGCTGCCGGGATGGAGAGTGCTGCATAAAGCCAGTGCAGGCTTTTCAGCCCCCCACCCTCCTGCTAATGACTCACCAGCACACAGCCCTGAGCCCGCCTTCGCCCGCTCCCGCAGCTGGGGACATGGACGGGGTGGGGGGACGGGTTGTTACTTACACAACATAGTCGGGGACGATGTGCGGCTTTGGGGTGTGCCCTGTTGGGATGGAGCAACTCAAGGCCCCCGACGCCTCGCCCTTCTCGGAGAACCCCAGCTGTTTGGTGACCTTCCCTGGGAGGCTCCCGGATGGCATCACCTCGTCCTGGAAGAAGATCCGCTTGGGTCTGGCTTGCAGGAGGACGGGATTGTGCTTAAAGAGACAGAGGGGCGTGAGGCTCAGCAGCAAAGCGACAACCCACATGGGCCTCGAAGAGTGAGCTCCGAGAGCCTGGGTGAACACCCCACCTCCTCGAGAGCAGCCTCCAATCTCTAGGCATGGCCTAGCCACTGGAGGGAGACACTGCCTCCGGGAGGGTTAGGCAAGCCCCAACCCCCCAGCCCCATGCAACGGGCGAGGGCACACAGGGGGTGTGATTGTAGCACCTGTAGATACAGAGATCAGCGCTAGCTGGGTAACCATAGCAGCACGCCCAGGACCTTGGGTAGGTACCTGAGCTAGTAGGTCTGCAGGAGCGGCAGTCACACGTCCTGACAGCTGGGCAGAAATACCCCGAGAGAGGGAGGTTACTGCCGCCCAGAGCCAGCGAGCTGTCAGCCGCAGTCTGAGTGATGGCTGTCTCTGACGCAGCCCGGGCTGGGGACAGGCGGCTGGGCTGGATGGAGGCTCCAGAAGGATGATTTGTGCATCTCTGGAAGGCTTCGGTTCGTGGGTCCCCACTGGGATCCCACTGCATGGAACCATTTCCTGTTCCTACGGAGTTAATCCCGGAGCCAATATAACCGCCCCTGTCTGCAGCTCGGGGTTTGCCCCAACCTTTCTAGGACTCTCCGCCACAGCCTCACCCCACACAATGCAACCGCGCATGGGGCTAGGGGCATAGGGCCAGGTTACTCACAGCCCTGGCGCCCTTTGATACCAGATAGCCAGGCATGAGCCCCCCCGGGGGAGCTCCCCAGCACAACGAACTCCCTGGCAGGCCTGGGTGGAGGGGGGAGCAGTGGGGAGGCTGCAGGAGGGAGGGGGCGTGTCAAAAGGAGGAGGGGGTGTGGCTTAGGTGGGCCTGCATTCCGCCTCCCGGCAATGCCCCATAAGAGCCTTTGACGCATGAGTGCAACCCGGCCCCTGTAGCCCTGGAACTGAGGAGGTGCCTGCATGGGGCAAATCCTTCCCAGAGCCAAGAGAAGGCGCCGGACCTTGGGGACAGGGAAAGGGGCAGAAGCGCTAGGAAGCTGCCCTCCTGCTCTGGGGCACGCATCCCGGGGGAGGACTCACTAGCACTTCAAAGGCCTCCCGCTGCTTCCTCGCCAGCTCGTGCCTCCACATCTTCAGACACACCAGCGCCCCGGCCAGGTAGAGCAGGGTGGTGATGAAGAGGAAGGTGAGAGCCGCTACCTGGCCCCCTTCCACTCGGCAGAAGGCGGCTATGAGTGGGTTGCTGGCGAACAGGGAGTAGCAGAGGCCGCCGCGGTTCACGTCGTTGACGTAGGCGATGGCCGCCCCCATGTAGAGGAGGAACATGATGATGTTGAGGGCGAACTCCGTCAGGGGCCACCAGTGGGAGTCTAGGAGGATGGTCCTATAGTACATGGTGACCCCCAGCCCCAAGAGGATCACCGTGACCAGCCACGCCAGGCTGGCCACCACCAGCACAAAGGGGGTCATGGGGCCGTAATAATTGTACCCATAGCCTCCCCCAAAAAGGCCATCTGACAGCAGGTTCCCGCCGTACAGGTTGTACCACTGGTAGTCCTTCTGGATGTAGGCACAGACACAGGCAAAGACCATGCCGCCAAAGAGCAGCTCCAGCCCGGCCATCAGCCTGAGCAAGCCTGGCCAGGACTTCATGTAGGAGTACTTGAGGTTGTAGGCCTCCAGCTTCTCCTCGTAGCTCGGCAAGGCGGGTTGGCCCTGCTGGCTCTTGGGGGGAGACATCTCTGTCTCCTGGTGACACTCAGAGGGGCTGGACCAGGAGGGTTCCTGGAAACCGCTGCTGGAGCTGCCCTCGCGGGCTGGCCCGTGGCGATCTAACAATGGACTTACGGGTGGGGAGCACCGGGCGGCGGCGTAGGCCAGCGGCAGGAACGGCTCGGGCTCTCGCCTCCATCTTTGGAAAAAGTTCTTCCACGACCGCGGGATAAAACGCCTGACGGGCTTCAAGGGAGAGGCCTCTTGGTTCTCCGAGCTGCGGGGAACGTCCCCGACGGGCGGCTGGGCAGGCAGGGGAGGCTCACGGGCGGAGGAATCGAAAGAGTCAGACAAGTCGCTCTTGCCGGGGTAGGACCTGCCGGATGCTCTGGTCCAGGCTTGTGAGGGCCACATTTGCCAGGAGGAGTTTAGCGGGTCTCCGTCCGACTCCACGATGGGCCGCCTCTTCTCCCTAGAGGAGGTAGAATTTGCCATGTGTCCAAGGAGTCACAGCATTTCAGTCTCTAGTCTCATCAGCACCACTGGGACTGGGGGGAGCTCTCCTCTCTGCGGTTTGGCCGGGCTCCTGTTGGAGGGAGGGAAGAAACAGGGACAGGTGAACGCTGAGGTTCATGGGCTCTTCGCTACAAGCCCATTCGTTTATTCATTACATCAGCAAATCAAATTCCCTTGGCGAGAGTTGGCATCGTGCTCTCTCGTCCCACTCTCCATTCCCGAGCAGCTGCAGTGGCCTCCTGGCCCTATGACGGGCAGTGTGGTCCAGTGGCTAATGGCCAGGAGACCTGCGTTCATGTCCCAGCCCTGCCCATGGACCTTGGGTAAGTCACTGCCCACCTGTGTGCTTCGCTAGCCGCCTCGTCTGGTTAGACTGAGCCCTTCAAGGCAGGGACTGTCTCACGCTGGGTATGTACAACGCAACGGGGCTGTGGTCTTGGTGTGCACCTTAGAGGGGTTCCAGAGCAGGGCTTTGAACCCAGCAACGCCCAGGCTCAGACCACGAATTCCTCTCCTATAGCGTTGCCTTGGGCCTGCGGCTCGTCCCCCATCGGTCACTGCTGATTGATAAATGTTCAGCACCAAGGGAACAATCTGAACATAAAGAACGTAAGAACGGCCACGCTGGGTCAGACTAATGGTCCATCTAGCCCAGTGTCCTGTCTTCCGACAGTGGCCAGTGCCAGGTGCCCCAGAGGGAATGAACAGAACAGGGAATCATCCAGTGATCCATCCCCTGTCACCCATTCCCAGCCTCTGGCAAACAGGTACTAGAGACACCATCCCTGCCTATCCTGGCCAATAGCCACTGACGGACCTGTCCTCCATGAACTTATCAAGTGCTTTTTTGATTGGCATATGGTGAGGTCACCACCACTCTTACACTCCAATTCTTCCCCATCCGTAGGAATCCGCACCGGTAACCAGCCCCTTCGGCTTGGGTGCCCCGGGCACCCACCCCATTAATGCCACTCGAGGCTGGGCTATAATGGGGCAGCCTGTCAGCCCTTATCGTTGACTAGAGAGAGAATTTCTTGGCTGTTTGGGATTGTTCTCAGCTCATCGCCCAAGCCTCAGGGGCCGCACAATCTCTGTTGGACGTGAAAAGCAATTGGAGGAGTTCTGGGCTGGCACAGCCAACCTTCTTCCCATGCAAACAGCCACGCCGACCGGCGGCTTTCACTGGCCGTTTTGCTGCTCCCCTGACACCGCCGAGCGCATCCGGTTCAGAAATAACAACAGCAGCTAACAAAAGAAAGGCCGCCACGTCTAAGGAGAGTCCTCTCCCCTTCTCCAGACTGCTCGGGCTTTTTCATTTCTCACCCACCGTGGGCACCTGGCTCCGTAGCCCCTCCATAAAACCTGGGTTCTACTCAGGGGCGTCGCCGGCTGGTTCTGGGGTGGGGATGTGGCTTTTCCCTTTGTACCAGAACAGCCACCCAGGCAAGGTGGGGTCCACAGAACCATGTTTACTAAGGACACACAACATGCAAGGACGGATTACATCACACTGCCGGCCCAGCTGCCTTCTAAAACATGGTGAGCACCACTAGCTGGCTCACGAATGAGTTAAAGGGATACGACCCTCTGCACTCACCTGACTAATGCCACCTGCAGTGCAGGGCTAACATCACGGGGGGGCCGATCAGCACCCCATGGAAAAAGACACTAACAAGTCACGTTCAATTGAAGTTAGTGTGTGTGTGTGAAATGTGGAGGGAACAACGCCTTTGGCTGGGTTGGGGGATTGACTTGGGGGAACTAACAGCGTGAGCAGCTGCTTGTTGAGCTGAAGGACGGGTCCACCTGCCCAGGGAGACTTTGTTCATCCGGAGGGCACAGCGAGACGGACCCCAGGAGAAGTTTGGAGCTCCTGTTTTCTATCTCTAGAGGGCCTGGGGGCGTTCACACTAGGCTGGCTGGAAAGCAAGTATTCTTGGGTTTTGTTCCAGATTGGAAAACCCCCCGCAAGAGCTTTGGAAATTTTTCATCCACCCCCCACCCAACCACCCCCACATACATGAGAGTGAGTGAGACACCCTCCCTCCACCCCCAGAATAGCCCAGTGGCCCAGGCCCTCACACAGGTGAGCCAGGTTCAAGTCCCCACTCTGCCTGATTTGGAGCAAGGACTTGAGCGTCCTCCTCTGTCATCCCAGGTGAGCCCTGGCCCCTTGGCTGTCCCAGACCTGAGACGCCTTCCTGATGCACGGGCCGTCCGAGCCAACGCCTTCTCACCAGATGTTTCTGTTTTGATGAATTGGCATTTTTAAGTGGAAAAAACCATTTCATTGAAAAATTCCCACCCGGCCCTAACGAGCGGGGATCTCGTCGGCTTCTCTAGGCAAAGCCAGCCAGAGCGGGGCCGCCGCCCTGCCTTACCCTGGACACAAAGTCCAGCAGGGAGCCGCACACCCCCTCCGGCCTGGGGCTCCGCTGCCCTGGGGATTCTCGCATTGGTGTGGCTGCGCTGTACCAGCGGAGAGCAGGGCTTGCGCCCGTGGGACCTACCCCGGCCGCACCACTGCAGGGCCCGTGTTACACGCCCGGGGCCCACTTCTGCTTCCAGCGCGAATCAGCAGCAGCTCGCTGCAGTCAGCGGAGTCGGACCGGGGGAGACGGTTGGGAGCCAGGGCAGGACCGGTTTGTAGGATCTGCACCAACGGCAGGGGATCTTAGGCCACTCCAGCCTTCCCAGCGTGGCCACTGACTGTGCCTACGCTCAAGAGGGGAGGGCCCCCAGGATTTCCAACAGAAAACGGTGTGAGCCATTACCTGCCCTTCCCTTGCGGGGACACGGGCTGCGGGGTACATGGTTCATGGCTGATCCTCACCCTCCTGCTGTCATCCCGGCAAAGTCGGGGTGTTGTGAAGGCGTCCGGCCCAGCTGCTCCCCGTGGTGCGTTATTAGCCTCCAATGTAAAACAATGAGTTAAACATTAACTGTGCCCAGCCGCCAGGCAGCCCCGTGTGCAGAGCTGGGGCTCTTGTGTGGCCGGATGATAAGCTCCACCCCTGGGGGGGAGTTCCAATGGTGCGCTCCCCCCCATGCGCCTGGCTTTCCTGCCCATCAGCCAAGCCTTCCTGGTGGCGGGGACAGGGCTACTACCAGCAAAAATAAAATCTGCGAGAGCTCTGTGCCTGCCAACAGACACCGTGGATTCCTACTGACCCCCCGATGGTTGGGTTGCCAACAGGATTCGAGCCTTTGAGCTTCAGCAGCCCAGTACAGACCCCTCTCCCACTGGAGCTAAAGGAGTAACTCCATGAACTGGCAGCAGTAGTAGGCTAGCACTGGGGAGGCCAGTAGTATGGTTATGAACAGCCTGAGGGTGATCACTGCCCCCTACTGGCTGGACTCAGCTGTGTACCATAGGCAGAATATTGCTATCAGATAATGAAGATTTTCCTTTAAATCAAATGGTTGAGGCTGGGCCACTGGGGCAGAAGGATCGGCGTCCACACGGCCTGAGGCCCAGCTCCGTCTCAGCACACCCTGCTGCACTATGGCTGAAGTGTTTCTCCAATCAATTAGGAGGGGCAGGATCATTCACCTTTCTGGGGCTGCGGCACGACCAGCCCCCCCGCAGCTAATCAGATTTGGGCTGGGCCAACATAGAAAAACATTTCCCGTTTGCTGGGTTGTTTTAAGCATGACACGTGGCACCTTTCTGGCTCTTTATCCCCCTGAACTAATCAGGCACGCCTAACCCCTTCCTTGCCACTGCTCTAGTCGCCCACCCCTTTGTTGTACTTAGTATCACCGAGTCTATAAACTTCTCTCTAGCCTGGGCGGGGTCCTAGCCTGGGGCTCACAGGCAGATTTCAGGAGGCCATGACCACGCCCCGTTTCTTTAGATGAGGCAGAGGGGTGGGGTGCAGGACCCACTTTTTTTCTGTTGTAATAGGAGGTCACAGCCAGCAGGAGGCACTGTGCTGACAGCTACTTAACTTACGACACTTCATGTACCCTAGGCTATCACCGTGTGGGTCTTTGTCCCCCTCTGTTGGCTGCTCCACATACAGTCAGGGGCTGGGGGGAGACCCATGAGTCCTTCTGGCTGAACTGGGCCGATGGGATTCTTAGTGCCAAGCCCAGAAGCCACGGCAAAGCCACGGAGTGCCAGGGAGCGGGGTGCGTTAGCAGGAGAGACAGAGCAGCTTTCACCAGAGACACTGCAGGCACTGTGTCTGCATGAACCATTCACCCCCAGCCCCTTCTCTCGGGTCGGGTCGATTTTCCTCATTCCCCAGATAGGGAAACTGAGGCACGGAGCAGGCCTGTGACTTGATCGAGGTCCCAGCAGGAGGCAGTGGCAGAGCTGGGCCTGGAACGTAGGACTTACCAAGTCCTCCGGGTTCTAACCACTAGACCCGCCCACCCCCACACTACGACACCACAAAGGACGATAGCAGAGGGTTTGCCGTACCCCGAAGCGGCCAACACAACAGCTAGAGACCAAATTAAGAGGCCTGGTTGGGGAGGAGGGTGGGAAACTGAATTTTAAGAAGTCCGAGTCCTGTTAAACCTGGCGCATCCCAGGACAAGTAGCTTTGATGAGCTACAGCAGCGGATGGCTCTGGTCAAAGGGCATCTCTTTGCAGCAGCAGGCAGCAGGGGGCGCCCTCCCCCTACGGTTCACACTGGTCCCAAGTTATTTGTGAAGCGGAATAAAGGGGCGTCTTTGTCCATACAGCGCCCCCTGCCAGCCTCAGCCGGCGCCTGCAGAGAGCAGGTCAGGCCCAGGTAGGGCTGGGTCCTACTTCCTCTCACAGGGCGGTGACACCGTCCACCCCTCCTCCACGGTGCTCCCAGCCTTGCTGGCCAGGTGAGCTCCGGACGAGTGGCGTTTTGTTTCCCGGTGCAGTTAGAGGTCAGGGGCTAAATGAGAAGACCGGGCGTGCGGCAGCCACCCAGCACCCGTCGTCCTTTGTTCCTAGCCCTGGCGCTTCAGGTCTGGATGGTCCAGAGATCGCAGCTCCCGGGTAGGGCCGGATTTCAGGCTTATTATTATTACTGAGTCATTGTATTGCAATATCCCCGGGGCGTCCCAGTCACGGAGCAGCCCCCCGGTGCCCTAGGCGCTGAACGGACACGCCACAAAGAGACCGTCTCTGCCCCAAAGCGCTTCCAGTCTAAACCGGATTAGCTCAACAGTGCTCCGCCCCCAGTGCTCCCATTCTGACGTCCCTCAGACCCACCCTTGCTCAGGAACAAGGCTCAGACAGTGTGAGAGGAAGATGGGGGGGGGGTCTGCCAAGAGAGGCAGGGAGCTTCTTGTAGACACCCCAATAAATACCTGGTGGGGTGCAGGGCCCTGCACGGTCTTGTAGGGCTGCTCTTAGCCAGGCCGCCAATAAGAGCCCAGGAAACCCAGGGGGGCGTTTGTGGGGTCCCCCTGTGGGGTTTGCACTAATTTCACAGCTCCCCGTGGTTTGGATCCTACAACCCCCAAATCTCAAAGCAGAAACCGTCATTGTGGCTGTGAGCCACCTGCTCTTGGGCAACAGAAAACCGAGCGAGCCACACGCCGTTTCCACCCAGAAATCACAGCGCAGCCCCCCACTGCCTTGCACATCTGGACCCCAGGGCGGGAGGTGGTGTTCTCCCTACTTTACCAGTGGGGAAACCGAGGCACAGAGAGGGAGAAGGGAGTTGTTCAAGGTCACAAAGCGAATCTTGACTCCCAGTCCCTGCTCCTGGCTTCCCTGCTCTAACCACTAGGCTCCCCCTTTGTCTTCTGAGAGCCCAGACTAGAACCCCGGAGTCCTGATCCCCATCTGTCCCTGCTGTAGCCACCGGCCTAGACACCCTCCCTGTTTCATTGCAAAGGTTCCAGTTCCCCATTAGTGGTGCCCTACCACAGCATTCCTGGGTCACCCTCTCCCCCAGGCCCTCCCACACAGACACCCCGGAGCTCGGCTGTGCATTTCTGCTAATGAAAATACGCCCGAGCCCCGCACGAATCCAGCTGCTTGTGTCCAGCCGGCCTGGCATGTTTCACTGCACGCCAGGGGCAGGCGGGCTCTGGCAGCGGCTGGCTCTGGGCTCTCGCTGGCCTGCTCCCAGCAGGGGCCTCGGTGTATCTGGCTGGCAGGCAATGACCTGCCCAACTCGCTTCTCATGCAGAGGCCTCTCCTCTCCGGCTGGTGGAAGCGCTAAGCACTCGATCCGCTCCAAAGCTGCCCTGGGTGGCTTAGGGGGACACTGGGAGCCAGAGAGCCCCAAAGAACCACAGGGCCTGTCTGCGTCCAGCAGCCTCCCCAGAGAATCCCCCTTTACCATCACTTCACCCGCCCAGCTGAGCCAGAGGGGTCGGTTCACAGCCTCTCCAGCGAAACCCACGGGGCTCCCGGGCCTCACCAGCTGAGCCTATCCCGGGGGCGCTGTCTGAGGGTCAGAGTCGAGGAGACTGATCCAACTCCCTACCCCCACTTGGCGTCTGGGCTGATCGACACCAGCCGGGGATTTGGCCCGCTGACGCCAGTGTTAAATGCTGGGCCCGCCAGGGAATGCACGAGGTGCCAGTAGTTGACACTGACCCAAACCCAGCTGGGGGGTGGGGGGAGCCCTGTTCTGGGCTTGGCTCACTCAGATCATAAACACAGCCACAGCCTTGGACTCTCCCCCCCCCCCCGCCCCCGCTGGTGCCCCCCAAGCCTGATCCGCAGCCTGTCGCTATTCCAGCCCTGGGCTCCCCCATACACACAGCCCCGCTGGTGCCCCTCAATCCCAACTTGCAGCCCCCCGTCTCTGTAGTCGGTTCACACTGGACTGTATTTCGTCAGGGGGAGGCGGGGAACCAGCTTGGCACGTCCAGACGGGGCCTGCGCAGCGCAGTGGAGACGATTCCTTCCCCGGCGCCGGCTCTCAGCGAAGCCGAGGTGGCAGGTTGATGGATGAGGCCGGGGCAGCTCGCAGGCTGGATCCATAATGGGAAGGGGAAGCGCCGCGGCGTATTGATGCGTTCCTGGCCAAGCGGCAGAGAGTGATGGACGGGCCGGGCGTCCGTGGGCGAGGGGGATAGTTACCGAACAGCTGCCATTCCAGCCCTCAATTAACAGCTGAAGTTCATTTCACGCCTCACAAGGCGCTTGGCAGGAGGATTTTTCAAAAATCAAATCAAATCAAATCAAACCAGCCACAATGAACATCTCTCTCCCCCCCCCCCCGGGGCTCGCTGGGCACGGGGCAGGCATGGCCCTGGCTTAAAGGGGAAGGGTCAGAGCCTGAACCGCCTCTTGGCCTCCAGCCTCACTCACCTGCTCTAGCATTAACCCCCCCGCCCCGAGCCCTGTGCATGGTGCAGCAGCAGGCTCTGTGGGGAGGGGGTTATTGCGGGGGGTTCGACAGCTGAGTTGCCACTGGGATTTTAGGGTATTTTGCCTTATTGTCTCTATGCAAAGGACAAGATCGGGGAGAGGGACGTGAGTCTCATACAAGTCAGAGGGCTGGTTCAGATGGGAGTAGCCAACGGCTCAGGGGCAGATTCAGGGAGAGAACCCAGGAGTCCTGACTCCCTGCCCTCCCTACTCCAACCATGAGACCCCCTCAGCTTCACAGAGCTGAGGACAGAACCCAGGAGTCCTGGCTTTCAGCCACCCACAGCACTCAGCACTCCCCTCAAGCCCCTGGCTTGCTGGATGTGAATCTAGTACCCCGGAAAGAGTCCATACTGATTCCCCTCGAACCAGACACGGCCAAGGGCAGATATTTGGGGCAAGGCTCTGGCTTGTTCTGCCCCCCACTCCGGACTCTATGCCTGATGCTAATGGCCCAGATGCACCGGCCTGGCTCACAGCTCACCCTGCAGTGGTGCCAGGTCCCCTCCATACTCGTTGGTTGCCGGGTTCTGCGGAGGGCATGGCTACTCGCTGTGTGGTCCGATGTGATCCAGTCTCAGATCTCTGTGCTCCTTCCCCGCACTGCCCGGCGGGGCTCAGATTGCGGGGAGAGTCGGGCTGACACATGCTCCCCTCCCAGCTCCGTTAGAGTCACTCACTCTGCATCAAAGCCCTTCGCTGGTTGTGATCCCACAGCCCTAAGGAATGCCAGCGAGAGGGGGCGAGCTCCTGCCTTTGCCGGCTGGAGCCGAGGGCACAATCTGCATCGCCATCCTCTGCCCGGTTGCAAAGTAAATTAGTTAATTAATCCATAAAGCCCCCTCAGGGAGGCAGGTGAGGCTTATCCCTGTGTGAGGGAGGGGGGAACTGGCACAGACAGGTGAAGTGACTTGCCCAGATTACAACAAGGAGAATGGAACCCAGGAGTCCTGATCCCTGCTCTACCTACTAGAGAATACTCCCTTCTAGAGCTGGGACCAGGAGTACAGATTCCCAGTCCCCCCCTGCTCTAACCACTAGACCCCACTCCTCTCCCAGAGCCAGGGATAGAACCCAGGGGTCCTGGCTCCCCATTCCCCAGGGCGTTATGAACCAATCCTTCATCTCAGAGCCAGGACCAAGCCTGGCTCCTGCAGAATGCGATTGGACCCGTTGGAATTTGGCCGGGAGGCCAGAGGTCATGCCCCGACTCATTGGTAAAGTGCCCGGGGGTCTCTGGTGACTGCAAGAGCTCAGGAACTGTGCCGGTCGGCGCTAACACAAGGGAAGAGCGCCTCTTACTGAATCACCAACCCCATCCCAGACAAATATTTCCTCCGGCCCTGCTCAGCTCAAGGGTGAGCATCCCCTCCAGTGGAGCTGGCCATTCAGCACGCTAAAGGAGAGCGACAGGCAGCAAGTCACCCCCACGGGACCTCAGCAGCTCCCGTGCTCCCCCTGGCCATGGAACCAGCCCAGGGACGCTGCCAATGCCCTCAAGGCTGCTTGACTCCTCCGTGACCCAGGGCTGACGCTGGGCTCTTGGATCAACTCCAGCCCTGCTGCAGTCAGTCCCCAGAGATGTCTGCAGCTAAAACAATTTGCACCAAGCTACAATCCAGCCCTGAGGTCTTCATGTGCCCCGTCCCTGCAGGTCACGGGACGATCAGTTTCCAAACCAAGGCCAAGACCCATGTGGGCGGCAGCCCCTAAATGCTGCTCCTACCAAAATCAACGGTAAAGCTCCTACTGGCTTCCACAGGATGCGTGATCTGGCCCAGCCCCTGCTATCAAGCCTGCGGAATGACAGCCGCAATCCCAGGGGATTGAGCTGGGCAGCTCCAGAGCTCAAAGCACAAGGCAGTTCCCGAGAGCCAAGGTGCCCCAGCAGGGGCTGCCCAGACTCCGCGCTGTAGCTCGGGCCCAGAGGGGCGCCCAGAACGACAGCTGGGTGACGTTGTTCCACCGAAACTTTTTGTAGCCAAAAATGCAGGTTCGGCAACCCCAAAACCTCCCGTGAATTTGTGTCGCTTTCGCCGAACTGGCTCAGTCGGAAAAAACCCGCGACAAAACTCAAATCAAAACACTTTGTTGGGCAGTTTCCATGGTTTAGCTCACTGTGTTTTCAAAAAAAGGACAAACTGCAGAAAGGCTCAAACCGGAAACGAACCGTTTCCTTCGACCTGACACACATTTCCCCCCCCCCCCAACTTGGATTTGCCCCACATTTCAGGAACGTTTGTTTTCGGTTCGACCCGGAACAGTTTTTTCCCTCCGGAATTGACAGTGAACCGAAAAATCTGTTATTGCCCCAGCTCTCCCTGCTTGACACACTCACCGGTGAGTTACACACTAGCCAACCTTCTGGCTTTCCTTCAGCGCCGTAGCTGGCTCCCTCTGCAGGTCGTCTTCTAATCCAGGAACCCCCAACCAAGACTTCCCCAGAGCCCCAGAGATAACACGAGTATCTCAGGACAAGCTGACATCGCAGGAGGAGAAAGAAGTAAACCGCTCGTCCAGTAAATATTACAGATCTCGCCACGCCGCATCCTGCGACAGTGCATACAAAACACTGGCCATACGCTGGACTCTTTCTTTCTTTATTTTTCCCTTAAAAAAAAATTTCGATATTCCTAAGGAAAAGTCACAAAGGACCAGACCCCTCGCCCCCCGTCCCCCCGCCGCTCCTGCCAGGATCTGAAGTTTGGCTTCAAAGGAAAAGGGTTGATTTGAAAGTTCCCTGGATTCTGCCATCAGAACCCACATACTGGAGTGAAGCTGGAGGCCAGGGGACCGAGGCCCTGCACCGCTGTGCAACCATTTGCACCAGTGCAAAGCGGGCGTGAAACGCTGCTACTCTGACTCGGCAGCGTTTGACTTTGCACTGGTGCAAATGATGGTGCAAGGCGCGGAAATCTCTCCTTGCCAAACGTTTAAAATTCCATTTACCATGGGGACCAGCCATGCCCCTCCCTTGGTAAATCACAATGGAACGGTCTATTGCGCCAGGCACCCGCCTCAAAGAACGTTCAGTCACAGGCGGCCTGTGATTGGCTGAGCATCCCCTGTGTGTCTCAGGGGATTCACGTAGCGCTGGGTTGAGACCATTCACAAAACCCAGGGAGGGGGGTGATCAGCAGGATTGGGAGAACGGGGCCGTCGGTGTCACCCCAGGATATTCCCTTGTGTCAATGACCCTCCCCCACTAGGATTCGGATTAAAAACTCCACACCGTGCGCCTGATCTCTGGGAAGTCTGGCCTAGAGGACGAACTTGTCCACTGGGACAGAACCAGAACCCTGGCTTGGGCCTATCCCTGCTCCCAGGCAGGTTCCTCCACCTGGGTTTTGATCCCCGTGACGGCGCCGTGTCCCCAGACCATGTCTCCCCTAAGGGACCAGGACAGGCACAGGTGGGAGCCTCCGGCTCAGCACCGAGAATGCCCCTGGCCCAGTCTCTCCTGGGCCCCAGCCTCCCTGCGCTTTGTGGATCGTGCTGAGTACGCTTGAGACGCAGCCGTTACCCTGCAGCCTGTCCCCCAGGGGCAGGGACCTCGGGCATTCATGGTGGGGCCACGGCTCAGCCTGGGGATCATAGAATCAGAGACTAGCAGGGTTGGAAGGGACCTCAGGAGGTATCTAGTCCCACCCCCTGCTCAAAGCAGGACCGATCCCAACTAAATCATCCCAGCCAGGGCTCTGTCAAGCCCTGGGATGTTTCACAGACACCACCCCGCTTCCAGCACCCACCTCCCCTCCCCTCCCCTCCCCGTCGCCCGGCACCCACCTCTATCCTCCTTCCCTGTCGCCCGGCACCCACCTCCCCTCCCTTCCCCTTCCCCATCACCCACCTCCCCTCCCTTCCCCGTCGCCTGGCACCCACCTCCATCCTCTTTCCCTGTCGCCCGGCACCCACCTCCCCTCCCTTCCCCATCACCCACCTCCCCTCCCTTCCCCTTCCCCTCCCCCATCACCCACCTCCCC